GGTAGATCATGTCTCTATAAGTTCAGTTAATATTCTGTTTTGTGTTCCAACAATTAATCGTATCTGTAGATAGATCATGTCTCTATAAGTTCAGTTAATATTCTGTTTTGTGTTCCAACAATTAATCGTATCTGTAGATATACACTTCACTATAAGTTCAGTTAATATTCTGTTTGTGTGGTCTATCTACAGATACGATTAATTGTTGGAAGTAGATAGACCACGTCTCTATAAGTTCAGTTAATATTCTGTTTTGTGACAGATACGATTAATTGTTGGAAAACTGAACTTATAGAGACGTGGTCTATCTCACAAAACAGAATATTTGGTCTATCTACAGATACGATTAATTGTTGGAACTTATAGAGACGTTCAGTTAATATTCTGGTATAGTCCTCTTGCTAACGTATTTTGTCAGCCTAGTAAAGAAGGCTGAGGAAGATCATTGGTATAGAAGAAAGGTGTTTGAGTGTTTTGTTGCAAGAGTTGACGAATTAGTAAAACTCAAAGAATTATAACAAAGACATTCATGTAGTTTAATTGAAGTATGAACCATTGACGAACGGTCCTCATGAAGAGATTACAGAAAGGTTTAAAGGTGTGCGCGTTTTTATATAAACAATACAAACAACAACCGCTCTGTCAAATCAAGAAAAATGTATACAGGGAGCTCTTCCCAGCGTTCACCCAAACCCTCTCGGAGGCCAGAGATGGCAGTCCTTGGCCATGGGTCGTCCCCGTCTAAGGTTTACACATCCTCCATATCTCAGCCTCCTTCCGTAAGAGGTAGTCCCGTACCCCCGCGGGTAATCTCATCTCCTCCACAACCATACAGATCTCGTCATTACGGAGTTAGTAGGTCTAGTAACAACAGCCCCCTGAATCTGCCAGGGGAATCCCAAGTCCCCCGCTCCATTAGCAGCAGTGCATTTAATACCGGTGGTGTTGATTACGGTGACGGCGTCAATAGTCTTATGATGGACGTTAGAGCAAGCGGATCTGGTCACCGTAGTCGGTCTTTAAGTCGACCAATGCGTGGGCGTGGCTACCAATCGTTAGAGAGGGATCCGGACCGTGAATACGTTTCAACTCGAGAACCTAGGCAAAGATCTCTTGATGGTGGGGAAATTAACAGCAGGCATGCCAGAGGCCGAGATTATCCCTTAGAGCAGGCTATGTACAGAGATAGAGAACACCGTGATATGTATTATCACGATCGTGAATCTGTTACAGACTCCGACCCGTACAGAGAAAGTGGGCTGTATTCCGATGCCCGTACTATGCACGCCTCCCCCGTACATAATGTAGACAAGCAAAACGATTATTCTCGCGACAATTTCGTGATGGAACTGCAGTCAAGTCTGAACGAGCTACAAAACCAGTATGGAAGTATAAAAAGGGAACTTGATGTCACGACTCAGAAGCTCGGTTCCAGCATGCACAGTATCAAAACGTTCTGGAGCCCCGAGCTCAAGAAAGAACGCGCTCTCCGTAAGGAAGAAGCTGCAAAATATGCTTTAATAAACGACCAAATGAAAATACTGAGGTCCGAAAATCAGGTAAGTTTATTTATCTCTCTCAGTATATTTGTTTTTTACGTTCTATTATTTAGATCTACAGTTAGAGTAAACTGTTAAGCTTCATAAAAAAAATGAAATTATTGTTAAAATCCTGGAAGTAGACCCATGGGAAAAGTAAACGTAGAGACGTGATCTATCTACAGATACGATTAATTGTTGGGACATAAAACAGAATATTAACTGAACTTATAGTGACGTGGTCTATCTACAGATACGATTAATTGTTGGAACACAACACTACAGTCTGTACAACTAGAGTAACATTCATGACATAGTCCGTACTACTACTAGTATCACCAGCCAATTTTTTTATCTAAGAGATTACTCAATATTCTAACATTATGACATTTCTAATTTATGTAGAATCACAGAGAAACTTGGGGAAACTTTTCTATTTAAGTTATTAATTTGGAAAATATTTTAATGTTAAGCTAAAGAACACTACAAATTCTGAAGCGCACTAATACAACTAGAGTAAATATAACCCGACAGAACTGAGACAAGTGGTGATTCGACTATTATAGGGAACTTAGCCGTCTCTTGTTCACAACTATAAAAAAAAAATTCGCGAAGACAATAAATATGTTAGTTTAAAATTCTTCTATTAAGTTAGAAACAGAATTTTAAACGAATTATCGATGTGAAATGTCGCATTAGTTTTCCGTAAAATAAAATTTCGTTAATCCACGTTTTAGTGCTAGCAATATCGATCAACATCTATGATCCGCTACCACTTGTATAAAGTATAGCTGGTGATAGTAGTAATAGTACGGACTATGTCATGAATGTTACTCTAATTGT